CTGAAGAAGGGTCTAGGCCTGAAACGTCAGCCTTCCTGCTCCTGTGATGCTGCTTGGCCTACTGTGTTCATCCAGCTCTACACCTTGTTATCTCACAAGTGGATAAAGTGGTTAAAAAGGCATATAGTTTGCTTGCCTTCATCAGTCAGGGCATTGTCAAGTCATGTTGCAGCTGTATAGAACTTTGGAACATTGTGTACAGTTCTGGTCATCACATTACCAGAAGGATCTGGAGGCTTTGGAGAGGGTACAGACATCATTTACCAGGATGTTGCTTGGTTTGGAGGGCATCAGTTATAAAGAGAGATTGGACAAACTTGGTTTGTTTTCACTTGAATGTTGAAGGATGAGGGGGAGACTTGATAGACGTTTACAAAATTATGAGGAGGGCATGGATAGAATGGATTGTCTGAGTCTTTTTCCCAAGGCAGAATTGTCAGTTACTAGGGGACATGGGTTTAAGGTAAAAGAGGTTAAGTTTAAAGGAGATGTGAGAGAACATTCGCTGAGTTTCTGGATTAATAGTCTAGCGATAATATCATTTGGCCATTGCCTCCCCAGTGTGCTGCCATTTGCAAAATACCACCAAGGTCTGCATTACTGCAACCACTTCAAAGCACATTGATGTTGATGGCTACTGGCAGGACAGGTGAACATTGCTATAAGGTTTGAGGACTTCAGTGATAAAGGCACCGAGCAGCACTCAGTCTCAACCATGTCCAGGTCACTCTGAAGTTAGTGACAGATCCTGGGTTTAGGGTATGACCACTGCTCATTTCTGCCTCCTTTTCCTGCTCTCAGGTGTTTGCCCTTCCTGCAGAGGGAAGATATTAGCATCTGCTGTTCTGCCCTTGTGATGCCTGGACAGCTAATGACTTTGTTCAATGCCTAAATGCTCAGTTCCCTCTCTCTCCACCACCTGTGATACACCAAGACCACCTCCTCAATCCTGCCAAGGGCTGGGCAATGCCTTTGAACAGCTATAAGTGGTACCCGACTTTGCATCCACCACCTTCAACTGACAGTTCCTGAAATCTCTGTGACCCCTTCAAAGTTCTACATTCCTCTCCACATGGCACTGAATGAGTATTTTAACTATTTGAAACTGACACAATCCTCTGTTCCTGGCCTCAGTATTGGTACAATGTGTGAGGGAATAAGCAGAACGTCAGTCTTTAGATTCCTGACCATAGGTGTTGCGTTGACCGGTCTGTAATTACCAGATTTTCCTCTCTGAACTTTCTTAAATATTGGAGTGATGTGCAATTTTCCAATCTAGAGGAATCATTGTTGAATTGAGTGAACTTTGGAAGATTGTTATTTGGGCATCTGCAATATTCTCACTAACTTGCTTCAAAAGTTTGGGATGGAAACCATCTGGTCCAAAGAGTTTATGACTTTTAAATTTTTTAAGTTGTTTTTTTTTCATTGTTACTTTTTCACATTAATTTTACTGGGTCTGAATCTCCAACCTTCAATTCAATACTAATTTCTATGAGATGCAAATTAATGCTCTGTCTCTAATTAGTCAACATCTCTCACATTTCCTTATTTGCATTGATAACATCACCATAATCAGTTTTCATGGATTCACACTGCACCTGACCACCCTCTCTTCCTGGTATCAGTTTTTAACAATTGTGGCTTGTGGCTGTTATTTGTTGTCTTTTGTTGTTCTTTGTATCTTTCATAGTCACAAGGAGCAGTGCTGTTTTTGGCATTTTTGCTTGCTTTTTATTTTTAGTAAAACTCTTGAACTTTAACCTTATAAACTGGCTCGGTGTCACATTAAATGCTTTTGTTTTAAAAACCACGACCCCTGTTCTTTTGTTATTCTACCCATTAACAGACTTATCTAATTTACTGTGGCCAGCTCTCATCGCAATGAAGTCAGCACTGGATCCTAAATGCAGAATCTTAGTGGTTGTTTATACTTCTTTTCAAACACTACATCAAACTTGAACATATTGTGATTGTGATGAGATAAATGTTCACACTCTGTTAGGCTGTTAACTAAATACAGCTTATTGATATTGTTAAAATGAATATGGTCTGCCTATTTGTTAGTTACTCAACATATCACAATTGAAAACTATTTTGGGAACCTGAACACTGGCTCGGATCAATTGACAAGTGCTTATGCTGTTCATTCAATATAAACCAGGAAACTAAAGGCCAGGGAGTTTGATGTCTGCCATGGAGAAGGCGCTAGAATTGATCACTAGGAAGGTTATATCTGGGTACTTTGCAAAATTCGAGAAAATTGGAAAGAGTTAGCGTGGTTTTATGAAAAAATTCAGCCTGGATTTTCCAATGGCCAGAGAGTGGTATTTCAGCGCAGACAGGATCCTGCAGAATCCACATCGCAGCACACTCCATAGCAATTGCCCAGGAAATTGAATTGTCTGCTGGGAAATACTCGTTCCTGGGCAATTCCTCTACACTTGGAATCCTCCAAAAAGTCTCCTTTTAAGTCAGAGACTTTGAAAGGTTCCCCTAAAATTAAGTGAAATAGTTACTTGGAGAAAGTTTGACTATTAAATACATTCTCGAACTCTTGAGTGACTGACCCTGTACTTAACCTCACACACCCTAACCACATCTACCCAAATCCCTTACACATCTACAGAAACTGGCCTGACCACTACTTTCTCCTCCCCTCTGCCACTAACCCCAAATTGATCCCCCTCCCCCACCACTGCTGGACCTGACCTCTCCCACCTAGACTTGGTAAACTCCCACCCTCTGCCAAATGCATCCTGACCTACCCGAGAGGTATTATTAATCTACCTGTTCAGAGATGTTATGACAGACCTCTGTCGAAAGTAGGACTTGAACCCAGTCCTTCTGGCTCAAAGTTAGGGACACAACTGCACCACAAGAGACCTCCTGACCTACCCTAAACACTGCATCACTTGCTTTGCAACGTTATACCATGACACCCTACCCTTTCCAATTGTATACATCTCAATCAAATATACACGCTTTCTCCGATACATCGATGAAGTTATCGGTGCTGCTTCCCTCTCTTGTCTGGAATTGGAAAAATTCATCAATTTTGCCTCCAATTTCCACCCTGCCCTCACTTTCACCTGGTCTATCTCTGACTCCTCTCTTCCCTTCCTCGACATTTCTGGGGACACTAATATCCACTGTAAACCCACTGACTCCCACAGCTACCTGGGCTATACATCCTCATACCCTGCTTCCTGTAAAGACTCCATCCCATTCTCTCAGTTCCTCCATCTCCGTCGCATATGCTCAGATGAGGCCAACTTTGACAAGGGAGCCTCCAAAATGTCCCCTTCTTCCTCAACCGAGGACTCCCCAGCTCCGTTGTTGACAGGGCCCTCAACCGGGTCTGACCCATTTCCTGCACTTCCACCCTCACCCCTTCTCTTCCCTCCCAAAACAGCGATAGGGTTTCCCTTATGCTCACCTACCATCCCATCAGCATCCACATCCAGAAGATCATCAGACACAATTTCCGCCACCTCCAGTGAGATGCCACCACTAGACATATATTCCCCTCCCCTCCCTTGTCCGCCTTCCGCAGGGACCGTTCCCTCTGGGACACCATGGGTCCACATTTCCTTCACCCCCAACACCTCCCCACAGCCCTACGGCACCTTCCCCTGTAACTGGCGAAGGTGCAACACCTGCGCATTTACCTCCTCCCTCCCCACTATCCAAGGGCCCAAACATACC